AGGCCATCGCTTCTAGGTTGGAGGCCATTGCTTCTAGGTTGGAGGCCATCGCTTCTAGGTTGGAGGCCATGGCTTCTAGGTTGGAGGCCTCGCTATTAGTTTGAGGCCATTGCTTCTAGGTTGGAGGCCATGGCTTCTAGGTTGGAGGCCATTGCTTCTAGGCTGGAGGCCATTGCTTCTAGGTTGGAGGCTTCTTGGTTGGAGGCCTCGCTACTGTATTAGTTTGAGGCCATTGCTTCTAGGTTGGAGGCCATTGCTTCAAGGAGGCCATTCCTTCTAGGTTGGAGGCCTCGCTATTAGTTTTAAGCCATTGCTTCTAGGATGGAGGCCATTGCTTCTAGATTGCTTCTACTATATAGTAGGTTGGAGGCCTCGCTATTTGTTAGAGGCCATCGTTTCTGGGTTAGGCTGGAGGCCATTGCTTCTAGGTTGGAGGCCATCGCTTCTAGGGTTGAGGCCTCGCTATTAGTTGGAGGCCATCGCTTCTAGGTTGGAGGCCATTTCTTCTAGGTTGGAGGCCTCGCTATTAGTTTGAGGCCATCGCTTCTAGGTCCTAGGTTGGAGGCCATTGCTTCTAGGTTGGAGGCCATTGCTTCTAGGTTGGAGGCCATCGCTTCTGGGGTTGAGGCCTCGCTATTAGTTGGATGCCATCGCTTCTAGGTTGGAGGCCATCGCCGCTATTAGTTTGAGGCCAATTTTTCGATGGAACCAGGCACTTCTGAGGCACTTGAGGACGGGACTTTGTTGGGCATGGCATTGTGGAAGAACCTTGTAAGCCAGAGAAAGAAGCCTTTGCAGAGAAGGCTAACGTGGCAAGAGGTCTTGAAAAGACATTTCAATTTCAAACTTATCAAATGCAACAACATACAAGAACAATACGTCGAGGATTACACCACCCCAGTACCTCCTGATGTGCAAATGCAATCCGCATGCAAGGCACATGACTGCCCCGCACCCATCTCAGTTAGGACTCTTCATCAAGCCAACATGCTCATAGAGCGAGCAGCAACTAGCAGCGCTTTCTCAAGGAACAACAAATATGTAAAATAGTCCTCCTGCACCATAGTGTCATCCTGAAGGGCGGCGGTTGGCGTCGGCTGAGGTCGGAGGGGCACGAGGTCACTTTTGCCACGCATTTCCTTCACGGAACCTACTTGCTGGCAGAAGAGCTACGACCATTGCTGCAAAAGAAGACGGATGCACGCGTGGTGGCAGTGAGTTCGGGTGGAATGCTGAATGTGAAGTATGACCATGCCTATGCCACTGGCACCAAGGGGTCCTATGACCGACAACTGTCCTATGCTTATGCAAAGAGGGGCCAAGTGCTGCTTTGCGAGTACTTGGCAAATCAGCCTGGAGAGCAAATTACTTTCGTCAGTTGTCACCCCGGCTGGACTGACACTCCTGGTGTCGAGTTCGCATACGGCTCAGCCAAGAAATGGTTGCAGCCCATGCGGACGTTGTGGGAAGGAGCTGAGGGGATTTGCTGGCTTTGTGTGGCACCGACTGAGGACATCACTGCAGGAGCCTTCTACTTGGATCGTCAGCCTCAAAAGACACAACTTGCATCGTGGACAGCAAATAACCAAAAGGACGTTGAGCAAATGATGAAAGCACTCCGTGCAGCAACCAGTTCATGAGGCCCAGAGCAGATTATTTTTTGTTCAACCACTTTTGAATTCCAATCTTCGTGCCAGTTCCATCACAAGGTTTTGAGCACCCTAATGATGTTTCACAAACTTGAAAGATCCGGCCGACTCATGCCATCGTTCGCAAAGAGACACAAACAGGTGAATGGACAGACTGCTTAGATTGCAGAGACTGCTCGAATTCTTGCTCGCGTGACCACAGCGGGACCAAAGCGAGAGGACTGAGGATCCCACGGTCGGTCTTTCAGATCCAGGCACCAAAGCTTCGATCGCATTGCTGCATCTCTGGGAGCAGAGGACTGGTCTGCTAAACAGCTAGCGGCCCTGCGCCTAGCGGCCTAACATCTTGCTGGAAATTGCACTTCTCGAGAAAATCACACAAAATGAGTCCAAATGAAAGAAACATCCTCGCGGAGCTGTTTGGGTCTAGGTCTGAAACCTTTATGTGAAGGAGGTTTAGATCTTTCTGCTTCAGAGGATCTCGATGCCATTGTTCCACCGTGCCTGGAGGCAACCTGGACTTGGAATCGGTTTCATAAGGGACGCAGAACTGAGGGACATGGTGCATGGTTGCTGTGCATAAATGCTCATGAATGTTCACAATGCAAGGATGATAAGGATGCAGGTTGGCTCAGGTTGGCGAGTTGCTGTTTTCTCACTCCTTATTCACATGCCTTGCCATGCCGTTTGACAACATCAGACCGCACGTCTTCTGCCTCGGACCGTGTGGAGGTCTTGGAGTTTGCAAATCGCTACATCCGCAATGACACCCTGCCGCTTGGACACATGATCGCCAGCCAGGGTGAACTCGGGGTTCTCGGTGGATCGGCTGCTTTTGCTCCTTTTGTGACCAGGCTTGTGTGGCTGATAAAACAGCTTGGGGCCTGGGGCACGATTGGACTTTGTGACATTTTGGGATATTTTTGAGCAAACAGCAACTTGCTGGGAAGAGAATAGGACACACTATGGAAAGTCTTGGCAGGGTTCTGCTGTGTTGGGTCACGTTGCTTGTCAAAATCTTGTGCAGCCAAGAATCGGTTTTAACATGTTTTAACATGTTGTCCCACAGTAATTAGATACGATATGGCCTACGACATTTTTCAGTCATGTTGTTAGAATTCCAATAGTTCCTTCCCCTCAGACTCCTTTACTGTACTGCTTTGTCTTGCGTGTAAGATGCGTATACAGAGACCTGAGGCTTTGTCTACTGCACGTTTCCATGGGATGTATGACCCCCGATGTCCGCGGCCCAGACAGTGTTCCTCTATAGACCCATATATCATATATGATATCGTATATACTCTATATATCTATACATACAATACATGTATTTCTGGTTTCCAGCGTCTTTTGGATCAAAGATCTAATCACTGCAGATTTGATTTAGCAGCGTTCCGGGGTCTCCAAATCTTCTTGTTGGATATGTTGGATGGCCTGTCACTTTCCAAAAGCCAAGACTTGACTGACGCTCTTCAAGAGAGAAGTCTACTGGAACACTGTACCCACAGATCCTATGCATTGGGACTCATGCATTCCTGACATGGCTTTGGTGGCTTTGAGACATGGGCCAATGGGGGCTGGACTTTCCTGAAACAGAACTGAGAAGCATTGGAAGTGGACTGACTCAAGGATAGGTGGGCGTGTTGACCGCCAAACAATGCTCGGAACATCTCGGGACCCTTTCCATCCTTTCCCTCTAGTTGCCATCGTGAACTTTGCTTGAATCCCAAACTTTGGACCAACACGTACTGATGTTGTTTGTGTAAAACAGTTTGAGAAGGGACCCTTCAGGATGCTTTGGCTCAAAACTTTGCTTCGAATGGAGGAGGTTCCAAGGCTCTAGGGCAGTCAGCCCAGTTTCACGGATGTGCTGAGGCGCCTCTGGAAGAACGTGGTTTGGCGATGCGGCGCCATGCTGCCCTGCTAGTCACAAAGCTTAGCACTGATTTCACAACCGCTCAGCTGCTTAGCACTGCTTTACGGAACATACATGACACATGCACAGCTCCTCGGTGTTTCATGGGCGTTGCTGACGCACAGAAGGTTTTGCGCGTTTCCTCTTGCTAGTTCACTATCGCATTTTCATATCATAGAGATGAACTCGCTTTTTCCTCGAAGGCAGGCGACAAAAAGGCAAGCTCACTCCTTCAGCCGTATCGGTCCAAGAAGAGCCAATAGGCATTTGCCCACGTGGCGCACGACTCCAACAGTTGCTTGGTCAAATTGTGTTCAATCTTGAAGTTAGAAGGAAGAGTCGAGGTGCTCAAATAGAAGCTCAGAGAGTTCAAACGACTGCTTTCTGGTTGTGTAGTCTATCCACTGCCTTGATGCAGAGAGTACACCTTCAGTATGTATGAGTATACATTCTTGAGTATTCAGTATATCAAGGTTTGTCCGATAATCCAGCAGATATTGACAGACGGGTTGGGGCACTGCCTGAAAAAGCGCCAATAAGGTCATGGTGAAGGTGACCGTCGGCAAGGCTGAGGATCCCTGGTGTGAGATTGAGCTCACCGAAGAGGACGTGGAGGAGACCCGAGAAAAAGAGACATGTTTCTGGGCATTCGTCGATGTCAATGTTTTGTTGATTTCCCATGCTGATCCAAGAGGAGCTTGGGCAAACTTTTTGTTTCCTCCTTCTTTAATTCTTTCTAGTTCGAGTACTTTTGACCTTTTTTGGGACCAACTCTTTTGAGGCCTTCGCATAGCTCAGCAAGCAAGTTTACAGTGCTTTTGTTGACAACGAAACACCTAGATTTCATCGGTCAACCCGCAAGGACTGGAAGAAGGGTGTGGACATCACTGAGGAGAAATTCAAAGAGGTTGCTCGAGACGGTGCAATTAACAATTCAAATTCGATCAAATTTGGATGTGGGGCTCGTCAAAAAGCTTGTAGCCATTCTTCTGCAGCACAGCAGGTGATTCAGCTGCCCCCAATCACCTTGGAGAATTGCCATGAGCGTGAAGACGGAGACTTACAGCCTCTTGGAGAAAGGTGCTTGTCTTTGTGACTGAACCAAGAACAACGTGAGGTAAAGGCTTAACGGCTTAAAAGATCATCAAGGTTTCTGTGCATTTTTCTTCGATCCAGATGACTCTCTTCAGTGTTCATTCCCTTTACTGTTGTGTGACGCATAACACCACCCGGTTAGACAGACTGGACGCTCAGTGCCACGGTTGGCGACCTGCCAAGGTGGGATGAGATCACCTTTGAAGAGGAGGTGAATGGCAAGTACTGGCGGGGACCCCAGGGGGGACTCCACGAGTTTGACGAGTTTCGGTTTCGTCCATCTTCGAGTAGCAGGTTTCGTGAAAAATGTCGAAGTCAGCTACATAATGCCCCACAATTGAAGCAGATATTGAGAGCCACTCAGTATGCCAACTGGTACTATCAACATCGATCAACAACAAAACGTTTGGACCTGAACACTGTTCTCAAACGTTTGCGGACTTGGGCTGGTATAGATCTTGAAGACTTGGGCGGTTTGGGAATGGATCAGTGTCGCCTGCGAACGTCTGCACGATCTTTGAACAGGTCCGCCCCTGTTTCGTATTACTCTCAGAGAAGTCGAAGGTCCCCGCCGCACCGCCTTTGGTTTGAGCATTTTGACTGACTAAGTCCCCTGACTATCCAAAGATCCAATTCCAATTGCTCTATTCCTTGTGAAGGCACGCCGTGATTATGGCCTTGCACCGGATCCGAGAGGATTTTGTGAAGAAGCAGTGACTTTGGCCTGAGAAGAGCAGGGTGAAACTGTGATTCTGGCAATCGCCCGCAAATAATTTGCAATAACCTGAACCCAAGCTGACAGTTTGGGCTTTGACTCCATCCTTACATATGTTAGACTGTTGGATGTCAAAGATTCACGAAGGGGCTTATCACTTGCACTTCGACCGTTTCTTTGCCTCGAGATCGCGCTTTCGCGCTTTCAGGCGAAAGATGAAGCACCTGGACTGGTATATGACTATGAAGAAGACCAGTGACTGGGCTGACTGGGCTGACTGGGCTGACTGGGCTGGGACAAACACCGGAAGATCGGAGATACTTGGAGTCCAGATCCAGCTACGCCACGTCGCCGGAATTCTGGGAGCCATTTTCTAGGGTGAAAGGTATCCTTGCAGGTCCTTGCAGTCTTCATGAGGAAAGAGCTGTGTGAGCTCTAGTCCCCCATCCATTCAGCAAGCATTCAACGCCCTTTGGCCTGTCGTGGTTGACCAATTGCATCATGCCATCTTGAGGTGACAAGAGGAATGCCAAGTACTATGCTCCTTGGCTGTAAAGACTGGATGCTCCAAGTTTAGGCCTTGAGTGTTTGAATGAACTGGATACTCCAGGCATCTCCAGGCTATGCTTGATATTCTTCAATCAACGTTTGATATTATGATATTCTTTCATCAAAGTTTGATTTCTTAGATGCTGGTTTCGTTATGTTGCTTCCAAAAGGTCATCACATAACAAGTGAAACTTGCGGGTGCATTGTGGCCGCTGGCACACACACTGAATCCCATCCAAGGTTTGAAGCTACCAGGCCGAGTCTCCTGGGCATTTTGGCGATGTCAGCGTCATGGTTTGTCGCCTGAAGTGAAATGATCCATTTCTTCTACAAACACAAGTGAAACGGTCTCCTTGGCCTCCCTGCTTTCAAGTGCTGCCATTGCTTTTCTTCACGGGCAACTCGGCTCCTGAATGTCTCCATACCCTCCGACAAGCTAGGAGTCTTCACGGACCATACCAACCTCTTCCCGGAGGGTAGGCCACATTGGGCAAAACCCTTCTCTGAGACTAAACCTGGATTGGCAGGGCCTTGCCGATTCGCGGCAACTGAGTCTGGGCAGTCGAGTGCTTGTGAGCTCTTTTGGTGAGCTGGAATCGAACTGGTTCTTTCTCTTGTTGTCTTGTCACTCATGCTTTTGGCAGAGCCCAGCAAGAGACATACTTATATAATAATGTACATATATGGGTCAATGAACATATCGCGGCAGATCTGCACTCTCCCAGCGCACCTGAGACGAACACGGCTCTCAGATAAGAAAGGTAGTCTATAGTGGCCCAGTGAGCAAGTTGTGTCTACACACAATTTGAGCAACACAAGAACAACCTGAACACTTTTCTGCCAATGGACAATCATGGCCCTTTGTATTGTACTTGATCTTGTGCTCTCTTCCAGAGAAAGGTTGCTGCCTGTCAAGGGACATTCGAATATAAGAAGCGTCCAATTCAAATGGACATGATTGGCACCTGCGGCCTTGCGAAAAGCGTGCTGCAACGCTGCCTCAGGTCTTATATGTCATTCACCGATGTGCATTTTTGAGCTTGCTTGAGATTCGAGATACCAAGATATCCCAAAGGGGAAAGAGGATTGTCCAATCCATGGAATGTTGAGATGGATCTGCATTTTGTAACAAGGTGGTAGGCAGCCGTAGGCATGAAACCATTTCACCATGTTGCATGACTTCAATGAAGCAGTGGTCCTCCATTTACAGTAACTCTTCTTTGTCACTTAGTATACTCTTGCTCCGACTTGCTCCAAACATAAGGCGTTACACAACTCATCCCATGTATGCAAATCAAATCTCTATAACAGCCACCAGTCTGAGACTTACCAAAGAGTCTCAGCATTGAATGATAAGCCTGTCAGCGACTGTTTGATACACTCCCATGCCAAGGCCAAGCACGAAGCTATGCCGATGCTGGCGGGGGAGCCATGTGCCCGTTTGATTTGAACCACAAGTCACATGTTAGCTCTAATTATCTGAGCGGCCGAACACAGCAAAGTTGTACCCAGATGTTTGATGATGCTTGCTTAGCAGATGAAGAGCTTTCACAGTTTTTTTGATATCGGTGAAGATAGACCAACCATAGAAACCTGCAGCTGTTGTGGTGACACAACGTTGTTGATCCTTGCATCCTTCTTTTGTTGATCACTCCCCTGAGAATGCTTTGCTGAAACTTTGGAACAACATGATGCAACTTCTGTAAGTAGTCTAGGCCAGTCCTCCGGGAAGCTGCGCCGCTGTGCTGCTACGTTGCTTTGTTCGGGGAGCACTGACGGACCACGTCGACGTGCAAAGCTTGAGGTCAGAGCTCTCGATCATCTCCTGGGCCTGGGCACTGAAGAGCGAGACCAAGAGGACACATTCGGCTTTGCTAACGAGGGTTGCCGACCTCGGGCACCTTAGAGCGGGCTTAGGTCTCGTTCCATGAGGGTCCTCAAAGAACTGGGTTGGATAGATGCTGGTGACTTGTTTCAGATCGATGAGGACCCTGGTACCCCTTCAAACTCCTTGTTCGAAAGGGTGCGCTTGAAGGGCGAGAATCGAGAATGCTTTGCTTCAGGGCATGTAAAATAGAGCGTGAACGCCTTGCTGTGGGTTGCATCAGATTGCCTTGAGGGAAAGTGATTGTTGTACACCTTGCTCCTCGAACGCTTGAATGCTGGATAGATCCACTTTCTTCACTGGATTGGATCAGAAGCGTTTCTACCTTTTTTGTAGGTTTGTGCGCTTCACTGTGGCCAGAACAACTCTCCGCACTGATATCGGGCTTGTGCCAGGGCTTGGTTTTGCAAACTTGCACGACCATTCTTGACATTTTTGGTCCTTGCTACATCACTCCTCCGGAGTTCGGTTGGCAACAGCGCCGTCAGACCCAGGTTGAACAACCCTCCCGCCACTGACAGGATCTGACAGGCTTCATGCCCTCCAAGCCCTGTTTTCTTGCACGCCCACTCTGGCTTTGCTTTCCGTCGATCCGGAATTGCTATAGCTCCACACCGAGATGTCCCGCATCACCATGATGCGCTGCGCCCGGCTTTATTGGTCCGAGGCCACTGCGTTTGGAATCGTTTAGACATACCCCCACAGTGCCCTCAAACCATGGAATTCAGCGCAACTTTGGAAACCCCACTGGCCAGGCAATGACTGAAATGCCTCATGCGTCACGGTCCGGGATGCTTCATGGTCTGTGGCGATATGACTGCGTTGATTCCTTTGTGTCAGTATCCGTTGGACGCAACATTCACAAGGGTGGACAGTACAAAGCTCAAATTGGTTCGACACAGCAAGCGTTGCGCAACCGCTACGCCGCTACGCATTGTTGGAGAACTGGATTATTTTACTGAGAACCCAACAACTTGAAACAGTGAATGCTCGATGGCGGCTGTAGTATACCTTGTGCGCATATTGTGGACTCGCACCTTATGCGAACGGCTTTCCATGAGCATTTCTATACATGTGTTTGTGTTACATGATTACATGAGTGCCGAGAAATTGAAGAGGAGTATCCAACAGGTGGCACTGCACTACCAGCAGTTGAGCAGCCTATTATACAATCTTGCTACGATCGTTTCTACCCACCAGTGGCCACAGTGGTCACCCCCTGAAAGCTCTGTTCTTCTGCGAAGCTGGAGCTCTTATGGCAAGCCACGTTGTCCCCTGGACTCACCTGAATACTCAGCTGCAATTGCCACCTCGTGCTTGTTTTTATGGTCGCAGGGAGTGTGATACTGTTGAGTTAGCTATGCCATCCGTCTTTCACATAATTTGCGCATTGTCGGTTTCACCTTCGTGTCTACTCCACTAAACCCAAGCCTCCTCTCTGGTGTCCATCAGCTGCAAAGCGCACTTTAAGCGAAGCTTTACAACCTTTTCCGCTTCGGCTTGGCATCCCGCCTCTCTGATGAACGGCCACAATCTATTTGCATTTGAGTCAGAGTCCCTGTCCATCTTCAGATCTGGGAGCAAAGGGTGACTGGCAAAACCCGGAGAGCAAACCCAGAGGCGGAAGAAAACACAACAGCTGGGCGATGTGTCGCCGCCAGACGTAAAAGCATCTGAAGCCTGAAGCTGTTGAAACTCGCCTTTTCATGTCTTCGGCTTGGAGTCTGAAGCTCAGCAGCGCCTGGAGTCCCAAAATGGACCCGGAAGCGATACGTATCACCACCTCACTGCACTATACCGCACTATAACTGGCCGCCTCATCATAGCAATTATATTGTAATCGTTACAGTCGACCGCTGGCGGACGACGCGGAGGTTGTGACATTCCACCAGATGCGGTTGACGAAGCAAAGTAAATGCTTCCTGAAGGCATCCACTCATAAGCTGTCCAGGGAGCCCTGCCCCGCGCCGGTGCAAGTGGAGCGTATCGATCTCTATGGCGAGGAGCCTAGGGGCCTTCCTGCCTGGCTCCATTTGTCATGGCCAGTGTCGTCCTCGTGGTGGGAGCGTTGGGGCGGCACCTTCCTATCCTTCCCTTGCTGCTGAACCCCGGATGTCTTGTGGCGGACGGGCGGTGGCTTCCCCAGAGCCTCCTGCGCCCCTGTGGGGAAGCCTGCTGTGCCCATGACACCAACATCAACGCCTCCCCCTCCGAGACGGTGCCGTCACGGAAACGACGCCGTGGATCGCAGGCCCCTCGACCGTCATGTCAGTGCCTCCGGGCTGCAAACGCTGTGGGTGGTGTCGTGCACTAGTTGGACATGCAGCCCAATGTGTATGCAATGACCTGTTCACAGGATTTCGGGTATGTGGTGATAGGCCACACGCCGTCATAATTGGTTTCGATTTGCATTCGGACACATACTCCTGCTGACATACTTCAGCTCCAGTCAAGCTGCATGGCTCATGGACTTGGGCCATTTTTGGGTTGGCACTTGCGGGGCTTTGCGGCGCCATGCGTTTCACTTGACTGATGTGACCGTGTATTGTTTCTTTTCCGATGCTGTTG